CCTGGCATCGCTACTAGGAGCAAGGACGCTACTAGGGGCTCCTGGCCTTACTACTAGTAACAAGAAGCTACTAGGGGCTCTAGTCTACACCCTGACGTCCTGGGCCGAAAGAGGGTTTCCTCTAACAGCCACTGGTTTTCAGGGTCCATGGGATCGTGGGGTAAGCTCTAAAACTGACGTGAGGTTTCATGTCGGCCAAATGGATGATGATTTTCAGAGCCGTTTGGAACATGTTTCGGTTTGGAGTCTTCTGGGGATCCGGTGTCACATGCATGAACGGGTTTCCATTTGACACCTGCAAATGAACCCGAAAGAGATGGGCGACTTCATCTCAAAAGGAGTTGTTTCTCGCAGAATCCCACGGTTCGGGTTGTTGTTTTTCTTCTTCGTCCGGACTGCAGACGTGAAGGGAGTTTCAGTGAAACTTTGTTGTTTCCATGGTTGCCCCGGTTGCTGCTGGATGGTGTACCATAGCATTCATAATATGTCGATGGGATTATCAGTTATATTCAAAAACTATATATATAGTATTATATAGTACATGTTTGAAATTAAATGAAAAGAACACATCATCCCATGTTGTGTTGCCTTTTTCCTTCGATACACCTGGGTTCTGCCCCAAAATACGTGGAGTTTCGGGACAACACCTGAATCTTCCATGTCTTGCTCCAAAAGCAATCTGCTGTCCCTCTGACACCCATAAGATCTGACACGACCTACTGCACGATGTTGGGAACTTTTGTGATCGGAGTCTTTTCTTCATCCGGGCAGAAGGTGTCCGACCCAGGAAGCGACGCCTGAAGAGCCAGTGAAAAATAGGACAAACATCAAGACTTGGTTACCAGGTGTGCAGTATATATCGGTTTTCTGAGAATCTTCTGAAAAGTGCCATCCCAAAGTCTTGAGAAGTCTCTGTTTGAATCTCATGTGGTTTCGTTTTGCCACCGCGCCAGGCGCTGGCAGCACGAAGGCACACATTTGGAGGTGCAGCTTTCGGGTGCAGCACATGGGACAAGCTTTTGGTGAGACTCAGCATGACGCAGCTGGTGACCCGGTCACAGTGATTGCTTGAAGCAAACATGAAACGCGGCCCCGGTCCTAGAAAGCTAGGGCAGCTAGGACGTCCGAGTGGCTCAACTGGTCACCAGTGGCACTGCCCATGTCCATATATTTTCCAGGCAAACGAGTGCGGAGGGAGAGCAACGACTGGAGCAACGGCCCTGTTCGGCCTTAGGAACGCTTGTGACTTAGGAGAGGAGGCCTTGCAGGCGAGTTTAGCCGAGTTGCCATCGGAGCCTGGCTCCATTCTTGGATAGGATGATATATGGCTGTGGGGTCAAAACGCCAGACCATGGTAGGTTGACATCCCTCAAAAAGAGGAATCGGTGGGTTTGTTCGGTGCTTCAGGGTCCGGACCGCCATCTTTGCCGCACATCCCGAGCGACACCGTCCGCGACCTCTTGCGATCCGATGCTGCTGAGAAGCTGCTTGTCCCTTCTGCTAAGTAGTCAGACGCCATCACCATGGCATATCCGGCTATTTGCAAATATTTGCTCTGAGATTTTAGAACCTCACAGGGAGGGGGTGCTGGTGTTCTTTGGCTGGCCCTTTGTACTTCAGGAATCTTTGATCATTCAGGCCGGTTGTGATGGCAGAGGTATCCAGTACGAAACGCAGGAACCCATACGAAGCAACATACAGCAACATACACACAGCATCACACAGCAACATAGTCATTCCTGGATCCATCCATTCCCAACTTCCAAGCCCAGGAGATCCCAGGAGTAGTTTTTTTGTTTTTTTCGAGCATAGAATGTCGGTGATTCCTCCCATGCCAGGACTTCTGCCCCTACTTACCCTAGTTGATTTCCCTTCACCAACTCCGACCCACTGAAAAATGGTCTAGGCCATTTCGCGCGACGCAGAGCGCTAGGCAATTTCGCCCGACTTGCACAGATTTGGGCGAGACACATTGATTTGGGCGCCTCGGTGGGGCGTGGTTCTCCTGGGTCCTCGGGCTTGATTTTTTGCATCCCCCAAGTGGCCCAGTGTGCCGCTTTAGACCGAAGCTGCGACCGTCTCCGCCGCGGAGCGATGCCAGGCCTCGCCCTGAAGGGTGGACGGAGCGATGCCAGCGAAGAAGGCGCTGCTTTCGTGCGGGGAAGCGTGGGGAGTGTTTGTGTTTTTTTTTCCGGGAAGTGTGGTGAGTTGTGTTGCTTTTTATGGACTTATGGATCTTTGTCTCTTGAAGGCCACGCCAGCAAGAGATGATTGGACCAACACGCCCCCTTGATGGGACAAGCATTGATTGCTCACCGCCGGAGATGTGTGACCATATGAACGGTTGCATGGACTTGTTACAGCCATGTTTGTTCCCAACAGAGTTGTTTCACCCAGAAACCAGCAAACATGGAGATGAAAGTGGGACTGTTCTTTTATACGTGACGCACAGTCAGTTTGTTTGGGGGTCGATGATTCCTTCGCACATCGAGAACCATGATGGTTTCAATTGTGTTCATTGCTCTGTCGGATGAACAACTCTCAATGTAATACTAGCAAATCTGCTAAATCGATATCACCGATAACCACAACAGGTGGAACTTAATCCAGAGAAGGACTATCCGTGGCGCACCCAGCGGCGCTCCCTGTGAAACACAGAGAACCGCTCCAAAAGTACTTGTTATTTTTTGCGTTTTTTCATGAAGAAATTCCTAAATAGTGTTAGTTTTCCTCTTTTGTTTGTATAATGGTTCTACTGTACAGATACACCTCATTGTAGGTTCCGGTGCACGCACAGCTTGGTTTGTGTCGGTCAGGTTGGTGTAGCCTGATGAGACTACTGGCAATGCTTTCGGCCATGGATTTTGGACCAACGGATGAGGGCTTTGAACAGACCCGATCCCAGCGTGTAGGGCAGGTGAGGTGAGTTTGAATCAAGAGGTTTGTTTCATCATGCTTGGAAAGAAACACCTACTCAGTGATCTGAGGACCAAGGGTGGTGTGAAAGATAGCTGGAGACAGTTGGGCCATGATACATGTGGCTTCATCATGTTTATATCAATAGCCCAGCTTGGAACTGGTGCCATCTACTGTGCTTGTGCCAATTCGGAAGTACAGTTGGTAAAACAAACAAAGCCCTGCTTGAAGTTTGAAGATCAACTTACCACAAAGCATAAACAAATGGTAGACCGTGGAGGACCGGTGCATGACACGGTGACGTAGGAGAACCTCCTTCAACATCCAGACTCCAGCTATTTGCAGGACCAAGTCATGTTAAACCCTCCATCATGTGACTGATTCGTTTAGATTGTGACCCAAATCAATCCCTCCACCATCAATCCACACCCACCGCACTCCGCGCGCTCCGCGCTCTGCGCCGCCGTTGGACGAGGCGATCGCTTCTCCCGCGCCTCGCGGGGCTCGACGGCCACCGCGGCGGTCACGCCACTGGGATGGGGAGACGGAGGGGGACGGGGGAATATGGGCTCGGATGAGGGATGAAGAGTTGTGACAGATAGCATCAGCTTAGCTTAGCTTTCTATCGAATGGAATGTAGGAGGAATGTGTCACATCTTCCAAGTTCGGAATGGCTTCATAGGGTGATAGTGAGTCTGAGAAATTGTGTTCATGTCCAAATCTTTGGTGCTCAGTTTAGGGACATTGGATTCTGTCTTTAGATTTCATTGAAATAAAAAAAGAACTTGAAGACCTGTGAGTGAAGACCCTTTAAGATCGTTAAAACCCTTTGTTTTTTTTCACGAGACAGGACCCAGTTTCGGCGCTCAAAATCGCACAAAGGATCTCATGTTTGCACCCAGGATGAAGAGCACCTTCGAAGATGAAGGCTTCAGCCCCGACGCGAAGGAAGTTGCTCCTTTGGAGGCGTGAAATGTCTTTGTGTGTGTGCGTTTGTGCGTGTGTGGCCAGGAGGCCATGGTCTAAATGAGAGGTTTCCAAAGGAAGGAGTCTATCATGCAAAGAACAAGGAATCGTGAATTCCACTTCCAAGGGCTGGGAGCTCAAGGGATGGGAGGTTGATTTGTCAACACAGCTGCCATCAGCTGCCTGTTTTTTCATCAAAGAATGTAACCGCTGATGTGTTGTCAAATTGCCAGATGTGCTTCCTTTGTTATTGGAACTGAGGGCATATGAGCTATATCCATGGGAGAGCCATGGAACCTGAAAAAGCCACGCAATTTTTGAGCTCCACCAATCTGACACAGCAAAAGGAGAAAAAGAGAACTCGTCCATGGGGCGAGAAAGCGCGGAGCTTCAGGCCGCCCATTTCGAGGAGCTCCTGCAATTCCTGGAGAAACGACTCGAGGGGCGCAGCGTGCAGTGCTGCGATGCCGAGCTGGGACCGGCGGAGGCGGACGGATGGGTGACGGACGGATGGGTGTCATGCGTTGATTGAAAGGTTTGAAGCAGAAGTGATGGATCATGGATGTGCTTTAAGGATATTGCATAAAAAATACATACGTAAATAAGTAGATAGGAAAACAATATGGTATATAATAAATAACCAGAATATGTAATAAGAGTTGGTCAACTGCGACTTTCAGCAAAAGAAGACCCTGTCAAAGACTGATGGTAGACAGAGCCTGCCTGGTGGGGTGGGAAGGTAAGCTGTACGGATGAGATGTTCATGTTCAGTGAGACATTTTGAACTGGTTGGATGTCGCAGATCCTGAAGCGTTTCTATTGCAGCCTCTTGTTGGAAGACACACATGATTGTCATTCTGAACTTGAGGAATCGAGGCCTTCCAACGCCTTCCAGAATCCACATGAGTTTTCAAGAAATCCCATTCGACCGCGAGTTGCCATCGTTTTTTGAATGATCACGAGCCCAAAAAACCGCGAGTGACCGGCGCCGGAGCGGTTTTGAGTACCGGCACGGTCGTTCCCTCCAGGGCGTGGTCCGAAGGCATTTGGACGGGTCGTTCCACCTGGAGCCTTGGTCCGACAGCTGTCTCGGTAGGTCGTGCCTGGCCTGTTTTGTGCCAGCGACCCACAAGCCCAAGCCGGTGATTCCGGAGATGAACCCCACCTTAGCTTTGGTGTTTCCACGAAACTCTCATCGAACTTCGGTGCTCTCAAAGCTGCGAAACACCAAACAGGCTTTCGCTTAGAAGCCGCCCTTAGAAGCCTTAGAAGCCTGTGACCTGCGGCTGCGCATCTACGACGGTCAGGCGCCAGCACTGGCTGAAGCGTTACAGAGCGCTTCCTTGGAGGCGCCTCCGACAAGACGATGGTAGGCTGAAGACGGGACGGGACCTCGCTTCCGTGGTAACGAAGGACTGGAAGGACTGGAGGCATGGATAGCGCCTCAGTTTCTGAGCTTTTGGTTGGGTTTGGGATGGTTTACCAGACATCGTTTTGCAATGGAATCTGAACCTTCCAGATACCTGCCAATTTTGGAACCTGTGGTTTTCAGTAACCATTTCGCATACCCAAAACCTCAAGCTCTTGCCGCCTCACATCGTCCATACCGCGCCCGGCAACACCCGCCCCTCCACAGTGGACGGACGACCGCGGACCGCGGAGGCGTTGATCTTGGCCTCCAACGAGCTGGGCCCTGAAGGAGGGTCCAGACCGGTGGTGTTATTTCGAATCTTGATTGATAAACCATGATAAACCATTTGGTTTAATGCCCTGAAACATGGAGTATGAATAAACCATTTGGAAGTCCATTGATACTCCATTTTATATACCATTTGGATGAATAACCTACTTCATGTGGGGGTATCATAAATCAAGAGTCTACATTGGGGATGCTTAGGGCAGACTTTTTAGGGATGGGGCCTGGGCAGTGCCTGCACTGAAGCGGCTCATTGACGAGTCCCCACTTCGGGACGAGCGAAAGTCAAAGCCCAAAAGAAGGTTATTTTTGAGTTGTCTCACGATGCTCGTGACTGATGTATTTTCCTTATTTTTCATGTATCCCAGACACTCCATGTATGGCAATGTAGGTAAATATGCCATACATGGAGTGTTTGGGTATTTTCTACGGTTTTCAATGCAAAGACAAGGGTCTCATCCGGTCAAAGCCCTGGTGCATCTCAGCTATTTTTGAGAATGGGAGATGTGCAGTAGGGGACCGCGCTGTTAAAAATGGTTTTCAGGAGTCATGAAAGCCAAGGTCTTGACAGGTTTAGGCCGAAAACATCCGTTTGTTCCATTCCTTGCTCTCAAGGAGCATGTAGTAAAGATCATGAGTCTGGGAGCGCGGGCGAGAAGGATGGAGAACACTTGCCGGCATGCATGCGGGATTCGGAAGGAGACATGCAAACTTGCAGCTGCCAGTTGCAGAATTTACAGACAGTACTTCAATGTGCGCAGCGTTGCTTTGCACATGGCAGCTGCTCATACGGGTCATATGCCCATGGATTGTCAGGATCAAATTCCATACTGTAATATATGCATTGTATACTTAAGCGTCTACCGCCCGCGGCCGCCGACCCCACAGCGGCCGCGGGCGGAGGAAGAGTGCGGGGGAGCGATGTCGGCGGGCAACTGCAGGCATTGCGGTCCATCGCAGGGAAGATAGGATACTTAGGGGGCATCCTCGTTATCACACTTGCCCCATGAACATTTTCATCATTGAGCCATGAACCTAACAGCGCACCGGCACATTCAGGACAGGTCAACTACTCTTTGTGGGCCTGGAATCTGGCTGCATGTTTATTGGGCACCACTATCGTTCAAAACTCGATTTTTGGCGATTTGGAAAAAACAGTGTGTCTTAAGAAACACTGTTTATTTGAAATGGTTAGAAAAAAGCAGCCTTTCCAGGCCCAAGGAGTGAATATCTCCGCATGGTACCGCGCGCGCGCGCCCCAGCCCCTTGTCTTCGCCCAGGGGGCACACGCGCGCGCTCGCGGTACCACTATGCAAGACTGGGTTCGGCGTTTTTTCCATACCGGGTCCAGGGGATGCGCGGGGGGGAGTCGAACCCGGGACTCCAGCCTGGACACAGCCTGTATACCGAGAAAAAGAACCTGACGGTCCCCAGAAAGAGTCGAACCCGGGACCAGCCTGGACACCGCCTGTACCGAGAAAAAACCTACTCCACGTAAAAATGAACAATGTCCAAAATTTGTCAAAAATCCATCGATTTTTCGCAAAGCGATGGTTGATTACCAAGCCCAAGGACTATACCTATACCGAACTATTCTCAGGAGCACGCCGTCCCCGTTCTGCTCACGCTCACGCTCTCGGTGCTAGAACGGGGTCGGCGGAGTTATTAGGCTCATCTAGCTTGAACCGGGTGTCTTCCAAATAGCAAGTGGGTGGTTGATGTGGAATAGTACCTTGTTGTCAAGTTTCTTGCTGGCTCCGTCAAAACCATGTAACACGGCCATGTAGTTAATTTGGTTCTGCTTGGGAGCAAAGAGCTCTAAGAACCACATGTGCTTGACACATGCAAGACACATATATTATAGTCATGGAACAGAATTTAGCTTCCTGCGTAGTGGGCAGCCATGCCAGCGTGGCGATATGATGATGATGATGGAGACGTTACGCGTGAAGAGTCCGCAGAGACCATCTCCTTCCTCACAACCACCAACATCATCCACCACTTCTGGCGCCACAGCCAAGCGCCACTATTTCGAAAGTTTTGTGCAACATTTTGATAGAGCTTGTGTTTCAAGATGTTCAAAGAACTGTATAAGGTGGATGGAGAAAGTGGACCTGTCGGAGCTGCAAAAAGAAAGGCTTGACTTTGACCGGGGCGTTGCAACTTCAATCTTCTTTGCGGCCCCGAGGGTTGCCTGAGCCAGCTGGAAGCACCAACCACTGTGCTTATATGCTGGTTGCTCAATATGCCCGGCTTGGACGTGTGAAACGTTCTCGGTGCCAAGCTCGATCAATAGGGCCTTGCAAAACCCGTCAAATTTTTCCAGCCAAATTGATTTGGCCAGGAAAACCCGTCACGTTTCAGACGCGGGCCCCAACCCTAAAATGTGATGGTTGTTGAAAAAAACCGCCGCAATTAAGCAAGGAAAATGGACACCCGTCAGACTTTCCAGCTCACTCCGAACTTCAAAATGTGATTGGTCTTTCCAAAACCTATGGAATTGTGATGGGTTTTTGGAAAACAAATCACTTTTCTGGGGCCAATCAAGCTTCCAGATCGTGATGGGTTTTCTGGCCAAAACCACTCAGCCAAATGGATTTGGCCACCAAAAATGTGAGGGGGTTTTTGAAAACCCGAAGACCAGCCCGTCACAATTTGATCAGCCAAATTCATGTGGCCAGGAAATTCCGTCAATTTTTTTCCAGCCAAATCTTTCTGGCCAGGAAAACCTCGAACACTTGGTATACCTAGGGCGCTTTTCATTTGGCGTAAAGGACTTGGCACGGTTTTACTGTTAAAGTTGTGTTGGTTCAGTAAGGACACCTCAGTTTCCAACAAAGACGGAATGGTAGAAGGGCCGGGGTTTTGAGCTGGGTGCGCTCAACCTTGGTACGCTACTTGATTGCCAGCTAGCTGGCAGCCAGTGTGCCAGGTTACTGGCAGCCACAACCTTTTTGAGTTTGTGACGTGTGCTTCTTGAAGCTCTAAGCTTCGTGAGGGGCTTTGGGAAGAGGTGGGAGTTGTTCGAGTAAAACGGCCGTGTCCGTTGAAGGTTGCCTTGAAGCTTCGTGATTCTGAGAACCGCGGCTTGTTGAGGCGATGCATGGAAGATTAAAGTGAAAAATAGCTTAAACGAAGATTCAACATTTTGACCTGCTGGCTTGGTTGCATGTGCGCATGGAGCCTGGCAATTGAACTCGGTGTTATTTGCTATCATTATGGTTTTTGAATGGGATGCCACGATGCGTGCAAGCGCTGATTGTTTGCAAATTGTAGCAAATGCCGCGAGTCCGTGGAAAAACTGCCAGCTTGTGCCTTGGAGTTTACCGGACGGGAAGAATTTGGACACCCACTTGCTATTTGGGGCTAGATGAGCCTTATTATATATCCCTCTAAATCGACAAACAAAAGGTACATGTAATTATGTTTTTTCGAAAAGTACCCGTTCAACTTGCACTTCGGACTTGCAGGGTATATATAGACAGTATTTGTTGGCACTTCCCTGGCGCCTTGCTTGCGGAGCCAGGCATGGATGCACTGGCTCCGGCCCTCGCAAGCTGCCATCACCTCAGGCCACGGGTGGACCGGACATGAATGAAGGAGAGCTTTTTAGGGCAAAAGGCATCATGTCAGTAAAGTCATTTGTTCACATGTTTTGTGTTTGTCATCTGATGATCAGAAAGTGAATCCGAAGCTTAGTTTGCTTTGCCCAAAGACAACCAATACAGATATTCACTTGCAATTCGCCCCGACGTTCCGGTGGCTTGGTCTAGACCATCACTTCTCCAGACGGTGCCGACGCTTCTGGTCTCCACAGACCAAGCCGAGGTCGTCTGACGCGCGCGGACCTCACGTCACAAGACGCGCGCGCGTGCGCGTGTTTGACGAACGCCAGAGACACCCTGCAAAAGACACCTCGTGCGCCAGGCATTTGGACCTGAGCTGGAACCAGATCGGTCCATCGGGCGCCTTCAGTGTCTCGGCGCGGTCGGTCTTTCGTGGTGGTGGCGGTCTGTGGCGGTCTGTGGCGGTCGGAGTGGGTGTGCCAAGTGTCCGCAAAGGAGAGAGGAACTGAGACTGATATCATGATATGACCAGGTGACTGATATGACCAAACATGTGGCTTAGGTAAGATGTTCGGAGTTAGAGAGTCGTGTAACCATACCTTGCAATTGCTCGCTACGGTAAGAACCAGTTGATAAAAATATATAAAAATGAATAGAGGTCTTCCAGAAATCCCTCCCTGTTACTTCTGGCTGAAGCCATGTTTGCTTTGCGTGGTATATCCGGCGGTTCCAGATGGTGCCCCGCTCGTTTCGCAGTCTTCGAGTCACCGTGAGCTGATTAAAAAGACACAAAAAGACACCTGTGTGTTCCCTTCACGAATCATTGCGACCAAGAGCGAGCTGACCGATGACAGCGAGGTTTAGCTGCGCAGCTGCCGAAGATGCACCTGACTCAACTGGAGCTCTCCTCGAACCAACTCGAGGCACTGCGAGGGCGACGGTCACCGTTGTCGATGGGCGGCGACAGCGACGGCCGCGAGTGTGCAGCTAAAGAAATGTCAATGAAAGCACTTTGACACGCTTGCCCGAGTTGTGAAGAGAGGTCATGTCATTTGGTGCAACTCTCAGGAAGTGCAGCTGCAGCAGAGGGAAATAGGCATGTTATGATACGGTATTAATGTATTGATTAATTCAATAATAAAACGTAACATGTGTAAAAAGTTCTCTATTATCATAATGAGCAAGCATTGTCAACATGAGCTCTAACAAGGTTGGGATGCGGCAAGTTGGTATTCAACTCCATGAATGGACACCCAACCACAGAACTGCCCCTGGTGTTGATGGTTTTGTTCCACATCCATGTTTTTTGTGATTTGTGTTGGTGTTACGACGTGTTTTCCTTCGGCCTACGTGTCACTTGAAGGGTCAGTCTTGCTCGGTGGCTCACAGGCGTCTGGCGCCAAAGCATTCGCCGTGGCCCTGGCGGAGGATCGGCCCATGTCACGAGCGCTCGGGCCGATCGTTAAGGGATTCCAACGAGAACGGAACGCCGCGACGCATGTGCCTGTCATCCTTCCAACGCGGCGACGTGCTTCGACCGGACCATGTCCATTCCACGGGTTCGACCCGAGCCACGCCACAGGCGGCGTGTCCGGCTGGTTCCGCTATACGTGCATCCGGTCCGCGGGAATCTGCGCGTGGCGCGAGGACCCTCATTTGTTGACCCTGGATCTCAGTTGGAACTCCATGGGCGATGAGGCGAAGCTGAGCCGTTCGGAGTAGAGGGTTATAGCGACCGTTCGGAGTAGAGGGTCCGGGTTGGCGTTCGGGGAAGCGTTCAAGTCTGAATCATGTTTTTAATGTATGGGTATATGTTGTTGTGTGCTTGATCAGGACTCGTTGGAATTATCAAGAATCAAAACTGCTCGACTCAACATGTGGCATTATTGTACTGCCTTTGGCTTGTTTCGTTTGTTTAGTAAATCGTGTTTACATTGCCTGAGTTGCGAGCGACATCTATGTAAAGCACATTCCTCTTCTCCTTAGCGTTTCAGTTGCGAGGATGATGTCATATGATGTCACGGGCTGTGAACATGAGACGGCGCCTTTGGGAATGTCTCGGCGCCACGCAGGTATTCAAGATACTACCGCTAGTAGCATGTGTAGAGTGTAGATAATTTTAAGATCACGGCGCCACGGAACAAAGGTAAAGGCTTAGCCGGGGAAATGGTTGATTCTTTTTTTGTGTGGGTTTTTGTCCTTGTCCACAGACATCGCTGTTTCACAAGCGGAGAAAAAGCTCTTTCAAATCTCTTTTGAGGATGCTCGGATTTGAAATTGCAATTCTGCCACGTGCTTGAGACAGTCCCTACATCACTTAACCTTCCCCACCCACACACACACACAAAAGACGGAGTGGTCATTAAACCACAGCATCCCGCAACCACCCTTTGCTCCACAGCAACTAAGATGTAAACCCACTCCGTGTATTGGTCGTGCCGATTGGTCCAAGAATGTACCTCTCTGAAACAATCATGAAAGTAAACGCACCTCCGCCAGGGTGGGCTTGCCATGGCCGAGATGTTGAGCACCAACAGGCAGAGCTTTGACTTGGGCACACCCAAATCGACATGGACCATGGCGTGTTGGCGGTTTGGACCCAACTGCTACAAAACTTGAACGAATCCAACAGAATCATTTTTCAGCATGAAACTCATTCATCTAACACCAAACTCCGTGCTTATCCTGGTTTTATTCCCTGTTTTGGGTCGTCTTTTTCCCCCACTTTCACGATGTCGCCCATCATTTGCGCCCATGACAGCAGGACCCTGCGGCACCTGAACTTGGCCATCAACGACCTCCGTTGGCCCTCGGCCGCAGCACTGCGCCAGGCGGTGCAAGGCGACGAGACACGGATAGCGCGTGCGACGTGGAGACCACGGTCTCTACCTGGTGTGGGGGGTCTGGACAGAGTGGGCCAGAAGTCCGATTTACAGAATATCGAAAAATAATGAACAATATACCAATAATATATGAAATAAAGATCATCTGACTGACCAAAACGTGGAGGATTGTCTTAGCAACTTTTTTGTGAGGAAGATTCGAGTGTTTTTTGGCGTCTTGGTGGCTTGTCGTGCATGGCACCGGCCGTCGCGCTACGGCCATATCGCGGCCACCCTGTCTTTGTCAGTTGCCATCTGGAATGTTTTTCAGACCAATTTCAGACGAGTACTGTAAGGAGTCAATATGTTGTATCCAATTGCAATCGACATTATATATACTTGTGAATGTTGCACTCACAGCAGCCTGCGTCCAGTAGCAAGTCGGAACCTCTATTCTATATATATATATAGTTTTGATTTTGAAGGTTCGACCTATGAAAGTGGATTTAGCCCAGTGGCCCAGTGAACAATTCCTCTCGAGTTTGGATTTCTAGTTGAAGGATTGCTAGGAAATGAACAACATAGAAAAGACATGAAGCGGGAACAAACGGGGTGAAAGGACAAACAGACAGCATCAATGAAGCAAAGGAAAGCTTGGACACCTCAATGTCAGGCAGATACAAGAGGACAACTGAAACAGCCAACTGAAATGGTCGACCTTCAGTGCCGTTGGTTCTCAGGATGGGCTCAGGGAGGTCTCAAATATTCAGTTGCGAAGTGAACAAAACGGGCGAACCTAAAGAACAATGACCATCCATCATTCACCGAAGGTCTCAAGCATCCATTGCAAGTGTGAGAAAAGGCCGCCCGGCGGTCAGAATCAGATTGAGAAACCTTTCCCAAACAAGTCTGAAACCATTGTCATCCACCCCAGTTCCTCTTGTTTGTTCCTTTATCTTCCGCTCTCGCCTGTATGCAACGTCTCTAGCCTGTGTGCAAAGCCTATGTTCTGCCATTTTATTCACGCAGTTTGTGACTTTGCAGTTTTGGTGTGCAGCGCAATAATTCTAATCTAGACCATCAATATATACATATACATACATATATATATATATATACAATGTAATTTATCAGAGTCAGTCATAGTCTAAACAGTGTTCTTTCCCCGAGGATTAGACTGACTAACGTCGTAGAACAAACTTTGTGATTACACTTACCGACCCTGAGACCACAACCCAAACAGCCGTTTTCCATGTCAAGCGATCGGGCAACTCCGCCAGGACACCCTTCCTTGCAGGACTGAATGAAAGCAGATTCTTTGTGGAGTCAGAAAGCAGCAAAAGCAGATCGCCATGGTCGTCCTCGGCTTTATGGTCCACACACCGGATGGGGGGGGAACTGTGTGGTTTTCAGGGAATACCAAGAGGTGCTTCAACGACAACAAAAGGTGTTTCTTCGTTTGGAGATCGATATTTCCTGAGTGCATGGTGCATCTGCTTTTTGATCCGCTACTCCCCAGCTGTTGAGGAGTTGGACCTAGCTGGCAACGACATTCCTGAGGACCAGCTGCCACGGCCCGTGTGAGAGGACAAGAAAGGCCCTGTGAAGTCGTAAGGTGTTCCTTCAAGCAACTGTCATGCACGGAGGGGAATGAAGATTGTTGCCCAGTACTCTCGCTCTGCTGGTGTCCATGTTTCACTGTGGCATCTTTTGATGCCCCATGACATCGCTGGATTTGCTACGAACGTCCGAAGTGGAAACCTCTTACAGCTGCAAAGACCAAGACATTTGTATGAAGTGGTCCTACACGACTGGAACTCCTTGTTATCCTTGTCATATCCGTTGTAAACATCAAGCCCGTCATTCGATAAGGGCAAGGGTAATACAGAGGATCACGACTTCTGCCGAGTGCCAGCATTGGCGGCGAGTTCTTTCAGCGCATTTGTCGTCAAATGCACGCGATGGGCACGCGATACGAAGAAATTGGGACATGGGTTCAGGTTCTCTTGGGATATGGGAAATTGTTATAGAATAAAATATTTGATGGTGTTTCATTTATATAGATATTATGTAGATCTGATCAGTGATTGATCCGCCATGTTCGGCAAATCCGAGCGAAGACCGTCTCAAAAGAAGGAGGCCCCCAAACCACTCCTTGTATAGGTATAAAAATCGTCACCATGTTGGCTAGAAAGTACCTTCTTGAGCACCAGTCGTGTTTCTTGGGCTCCTGGAATTGAGATGCAGATAATGTCCTGCCCCTTCGACCAATCGGCTGCCACGGCAGCCGGGACGCGGGGTCCCAACATCTTGAGAGCCCAAATACCAGCAGAATCTCAGCTCAGAGCCAGTGACCGGATGTGCTCGGTGCCATTTCTGGAAGGAGTAACTAGAGGTCCACATTGCTCCATGGAGCCATCAAGCAAGCCACAGAGAGATGGGAAGAGGAAAGGGAGAGAGAGACCCGGAAGGTTTCGAATCCCACAAAAGACGATGGCTGGAGTCTGGAGGAGAATTCGGTGCATGTGGTCATGTTGGATCTTGATTAATTAGTAAAGGGCACCCCCCTCCTCTAAACAAATGGGAGGGCCTCTATAATAAACTACCACCAAAACAAATCTGGGTTCCCTTTTCCTTTGCAGCCTCAGATCTTCATCAGATCTTGAGGACTACCACCTTGAACATTTGTTTAGGAGCAATCTTTATATAAAGGATAGATTAAGGAAGTGATGGCTTTGGGAAGCTGTGAGTTTTGAAAAAACTACAGAAACCTATGATTACCAATAATACTCTCAGCAAGCCGGTCATTGGCTTGGTAGTGTTCACCGATCTCTGCAGGATTTGAAACACTCCTAGGTTCCCAAAAAATTTAGCAAAAGAGAGAACTCTTAAAACAAACATGGTGTTGAGAAGTAGTTTCAATCAATTTCCATTTTAGAGAGCGCAATTACTAATCAGCATCCAACATTACCGAGTAATAATTCTCCCAGCAAGAGACCCTAAACAGTGCGCCTAAAGGTCTAAGGTTTGGAGGTGCAGAAGCAGAAGGTCTAGATATCTAGACGCACTGGGCTCCACAAAAGGTGATGGTGGTGACGAAGGTGGTGGTGATGAGGGTGGCGGTGGTGGTGGTGGTGCTGGTGGTGGGGGTGGTGGTGGGGGTGGTGGTGAGGGTGGTGGTGAGGGTGGGGGTGAGGGTGGTGGTGAGGGTGGTGGTGGTGTGGTGGTGGTGTGGTGATGGAGGTTCGCAAAGTAGAAAGTCTTAGAATGGAAGGTCTAGGTCGAGAGCTTTAGGGGTGGTAGAGAGAGGGAGGAGCACACATATGACGGACAATTGCTGCACCACCAGCGAAATCTGCACTTCAAGGTCCACATCAAGACTCACATTGCGCAGCCCTGCCAAGGCGATTCGCAGCAAGAGCAGTTCCAAAGACAACGTCGAGATAGCAAGAGTTAGCTTTGCTCGAGACATTCTCCGATTTTTGAAAGGAAGCCACATGTCCAAAAGTCACGAATCATTGCGCCTGCCACAAAATCTAAACATCCACATATATCCGCTCCGATCTCCTGCTCCAGCCAGCACAAGGCGACTTTGGACCAGCGAGGTTTCCCTTGTGCCTGCCACGAAAAAGTGAGCACCATGCCCCAAATTGCGCACGGTGCCACAACAAGAGCGCAGTCTCGAAATGCACTTCGAAGATCTCTCGATCAGACACCCGTCCTGAACCCCGATACCTTAAGAACCGCTAGTGTTGCCACACCTTTCCATGAGAAGATAACTGGCCCGTATCAGAACTCTATAGCAAAAATAGAATGTCTCAAGTCTCAAAATCCTTGCAAGACAGTTCGCAGTTCGCTAAGTCTGAAGAGGACTGGAAGATGAAGCCCCCATGCTCCAGCTAAGCGACCAAGAGTTGGGACCCCGCTCATGGGCATTTCCCGCAGAGCCTCAAAAAGGAGCGCGTGTGGTACGGCGCAACGTTACTGTGGATGGTGTGCAAACAGACCCTGCACGGTTCCTGCAGCTCACGCAAGATCGATAACATAATGCACTGCTGTTGATTGAGCAAATGTTGAATTGACCGCTCGTTTTACCGAGATAACGATTCAGGCATTTGGTTACTCAGTGCATCTCAGTGCTAGGACCGCCACACACATTTCCACGGAGCTCTACCAGGATAGTTACGTTCAACATGAGGTGGCCCTGAAAACACAGAGATCAGATCAGTATACCAGCAACCTGTCCTTCTTTTACACAAACCTGTGCTTCTTTCACACTAACATTTGTTGCGTTTAGCTAAAGAAGGTCTTGAACCAACTCTATATACAGCACGCTACTATACATACAAACCTACACACACGCAGACAGACAGATATACAGACAGACAACTTTACAAACAAACATGCATATAACTATTTCATTTCATTCATTCATCTATTCAATCAATAAAGCAATCAATCAACCAATCATTCAGACAAACTTCAGCGGATGCATGATACGACTGCGGTGACAAAACTAACATGCGGCTGCCCCGGGAGCTAGAGAGGGGAGTGTGCGAGGCGAGGCTCGGGAAGAAGGACGCCGAGGTCCTAAGGACGGGAGTGAAAGGAACCTCAAGGAGTGAGGTCAGTCAAAGAAGGCAGGCGAACGCCCCACCAGCGATTCGGGATGTCCAGCGAGACTTCAAGGAAGAGGAGATGTGCGAGGAAAACTGTAGACCTTCAGCGAGGCCACCGAGGAGGACACCATCGAGGTCACCCCCGAAGCGGCAGACCGAAATTCAAGCCTTGGAAGAACCGCTGCTGTGGCAAAGCAAGGGAGTAAGAAAAAGGGAGAAGCAGAAACAGCAGGAGGTCGTCAAAAGAAAGCCTGGCAGATCGCTCATATGGAGGCGCTGCCGTTGAAGTCTGTGGCAGCATCAGCAAGTATTGAAGCCAAGCTCACAGACTTCAATGAGCCCCACCGAGGCGATGTCTTGCGGCGTGGGTGGAGCCAAGTTAGCCATGTCGCTAGTGATTTGCGCATAGAACTTCCTCCCCGCTGTAGTCTATGGTCTTAAGCTGGCGAGGTTATGCGAGCTCGTCTCTGAAGCAGTCAGCTAAATATCTTAAAGATGACCCTACCGTATAGGGGGATGGAAGTCGTTTAGGCTGTAGCGCCTGGAACACGTTCAAGCCAAACACATTCCTCTCGACGACAACAGCGCTTGACCAGTCAGGCGGGTCACCTGTGCTGGTGAGCAACGAAAACACGTTACCCCTGGCCTGACTGTGTCTTGCGTAACAAACCAAGTCCGAATCCCAGAGCGAGTTCACCAATTAACATGCCCGGGTCTGCGACCTTCTGACCGGGACGTCCCTCCACTACAAGCTTGCCGTCATCGATGTCATTGACATGACTCCCTGCCCGCTGCATCCGTGGCTAAAAAGGCACTTTTAAGTTGCGCTTTAGGCGCGCGCGGCTTCTGGGTCCTGTGGCACATCATGTGGACGCCAAGAAGGAAACCGCAGGAAGCCAGCAGAGTTGTCCTCAAAGGAGTTGAGGTGGTGGATGAGTAGGGTGCGGAGGTGACTTGCAGATTGTCCTAGCGTCGCTGGTGATTCTTGTTGCGAGGCACTTTGCCTGTTCAAAAACACGATCTGCTTAGGCCAGAGGTTTGCCGTGGGGCCAGGTCAGGGTATCTGACGGAGATGGATGCGAGAGATCTAGGTCATGATCCCGGCGCCTTCCTGTCACAAAGACCGTTGACTTGCAAAGTGAGATTGGGAAGTTCCACCAGGCTGTGAGGTGGAAATTCATGGGGTTGACGCGGACAGGACTTGCCGAAAGATACAGAGCTGACCGTCGCTGTCAAGGCCAAACACTTGGCCCACTTGGCAACTGAATTCACTATACCGGTGACAGCAAAAAAATCTTTGGGAGCAGTCAGAGGAGCCCGGGGCGCCTCCGCAGTGCACGTGCGTCTGGGTAAAATAACTTAAAATAATAATAGCTGTCATATATAATTGAGCGCTTTGGTCTTGCGTTACGGTGATAACGAGAGAAGAAACAGCGGAGCTATATGATCATATGTGTATATATATTTTATGTTATATAGAGTCGCAATTTCCTATGTCTGACATGTTACAAATAACGCTCAACACTTGCTACCTCCGGCCAGGATGAGGACGTGACCGTGCGGTTGGCCAGTATGGAGGCCTTGTACGCACGTTCGGTGGGTTGATGCCATTGGACGGACCTGTACCTGAGCTCGAACTAGTTCTGGCTTTCCGCTCGCGGTTCTGTAGGCACGATCGCACGATTTTTTGTGAAGTGCATCACTACAGGCACGTCGCAAGTGAAATGTACATGATGTTGGTTGATGTGACAGCACACCATCATACATATACACTGTGACCTTGCTGTTTGTTTGGCGCGCGGCGCATCATTGTTTCTATCATGTCAGGCCCTGCACTGCGCCGGGAAGCGCGGCGTGCGCAAGGGCGATAAGGTGGCCGGTGTGTCGCACCGATCCATTTGACAGAGTTGAGTGAACAAGAATGCCATTAAAAATTACACCTAAGTGATACATTTTTTCATTGTCTGATTTGCATTGATTTG